TCTTCCGATCTTATATCGACAATATCACAAATGCTTTTTGGCGCTATGCCAACGGCGATGGGCAGCGATTCGTTCAAGATTCATACCATAACGTGGGTGATGATTATTCCAAATTTGTCGATGCCTACTGAAAATTTCCGAATTTTTTAGTGAAGATCAACGATTGCTTATTAGCCGCGTGTTTGCTATCCCACGAATTAGCTCAAGGTTCGTTTCAATTTTTGTTTGGTTTGCCTTGTCTGCTCAGTCAACCTGGACTGGGGAAGCTTATGGTTGTATTCTGTTGACAGAATTTCTTATAAGATGTCTAGATGGTTTTAGAGGGTGCTATACGTCTCGAGGGCGGGGTCTTCTGCATTTTCACGATTAACTTTGCTACACCACAATAACTAGCAAGTCCCATTTTGGTGGAAGTGAACTCTTGTAAAGCTGCGCGATGGTGCATGTTAATCGCTTTGGTTACAAAGTTTCACAGGACATCTGAGGAGGGGGAGGGGTCGTAGACCTGGCCTGCGCCCCACCAAACCGGACTGCACCAGTTATTACTTCAGCGGCAGATCACATTCTTAAACAAATTTAGAGAGATGCGGGCAAATGCCGAGTCACTGGAATCGTCGGACTCGGAATCCCAGTCTCAATACATTACGATTCGTTCGATGGACAGTATGAACGGTATAAATCACAGTAAACCCGGATGTATCTCGTCCACTGCACCACCGGAAGCATTCAAACGCGTAAGTGGATAGCTCAATGTACAACTTGGGCCCTATAACCCAACACCTTGCAGGTACGTAATACCAGCCTGCATTTGGACGATGATGCGGACGAGATTCGTCCGTTTTCTCCACCAACTGCAGCGAGATTGTCTCGTGACCGCCGTCTGCAGATGTCACACAAGACGAGTTTGTGTGAGCAATGTATGTTTTTTGTTCTTCGGCATCGAGCCAAAGGGTATTTGTCTGAGACTTAGTGTTCTTTGCGCTTTTCCTCGGAATATGTACGTGACAAAATGGAAAATTGGAAAGGTCATGTTAAATCTAGTTGTTGTCGGCTAGGTTGCTTGTATCAGTGATAAATTAGGTGGGAAGGAATCGCGATTGTCAAGCAGGTGCCAATTTTGTGCACGGGTTATAGCAACATACCATACCTGGGAGGGTAGCTTCATGGGGACATTTAAGGACTTCCTAGGGACCTCCTGGTTTCCTAAACCGCAAGGGACTTTCTGGATTCCTAGGGTCTCAGAGCACTTGTCAACCGCGGAGTCTCTTCTCTTTCCTTTCTTTCTTCCTCCTTACTTCCTTCTCTGATCCCTCCTTTACCTTCCCCCATCACTACTGGGCTAGAAGATGCCACGAAAGAATATCTCTGAACCCTGGCAGTGAGAGCACATCTGGTTGACAACTAAATCCAAGGAGGAAAGAGCCTTAGAGT